ACACGCAGGTGCGGCAGTTCCTGGGCACTGTAAATTACTGTCGTATGTTTATGGGGGCAGACTATGCTAGAGTGGCCCGCCCCCTACTGGAACTCACACGGAAGCGGGTCCACTTCAAGTGGACGGAGGCCCACACACAGGCAGTGCAACAGCTCAAACGAAAACTAACTGATTATGTCACCCTTCAGATACCCGATACCACGAAGCCTTTTGACCTGTACACGGATGCTTCGGGATTTGCGTTGGGTGCGATCCTGGAGCAGGAGGGAAAACCATTTGGGTTCCTGAGCCAAACAATGAACGCCGCGCAGCAGAAGTACTCAATCTATGATCAGGAATTATTGGCACTGGTTACCGCCTTGGACAAGTGGTCTCACCTACTGCGGGCTGCAAAGGTAACGGCCTACACGGATCATCAAGCACTAACGCACCTGCAACAACTTAAGGCATCCAAACCTCTTCGGGGGCGCACCGCCAGGTGGCTTGATTTCCTCGCAGAGTTCCCTGAACTGACGATCTCCTAGCTGTCAGGCACACGCAATCAAGTGGCGGATGTATTGTCGCGTAACCCTGGAGGGCCTACAACCAACGCACCCAGCAGTTCGGTGGAGCCGATTGACACCCCACCAGGCTCCTTGGTTACCCTCGTACACGCTGAGGTACCCTTAACCCCATACCCTAAAACTAGGAGACGACGTACCGACTATCGACAACTAGCCGGCATCCGGGTGAGGACGCGGCAACAGCGGGGGAGCGAGAAGCCCACGGAGGTGACCCTGAATACACAACAGCAACACAGTCGGCCACAACAACAGACGAGCGCAACACACAAGCCGAATTCCCCTACACACGCTCTCGACTGGCCAATGGCATATTCTAAGTGTCCAGTCTTCCGCGATGCTCATACGGCCGCTGCCAAGACCCCGGGAGAAGCCGTCCATGTCGAGATTCATCAGCGCCGCTATGGGTTTCGTTTCCAGCACCCATACCTGCGCATATATCAGAATGGCATTTGGCTTATATGTGTCCCACAATTACCGGAGTTCCTAACGCACATACCATACCAGTTTCATGATCACGTCACAGCGGGGCACAGAGGTCAAAAGACTTTTCTTGCAATCAGCAAACATTACTATTGGCCTGGAATGCGAACATATACTAATACCTACGTGGATTCTTGTGTGCAATGTCGAGCTTCGAAGAGTGTCACCCAGAAATCCGCCGGCCTGCTGCAGCAACTCCTGATACCGTCACGGCGTTGGAGCCACGTGAGCTTGGACTTTATCACTGACCTGCCACACACACACGCAGGACACGACGCCATCTTGGTACTGGTGGATTCGTTGAGCAAGATGGCCCACTTCATTCCACGCGCAAGACTAGCTCAGCAGCAGACACGGTAGCATTGTTGGCTGACAGACTCATCAGATACCATGGGTTCCCAGAGACCCTCGTCTCTGACAGGGACCCACGCTTCACCTCGGAGATCTGGGAGGCACTCTGCTCGCGTTTCAACATCAAACGAGCACTGTCCTCCCGCTACCATCCACAGACGGACGGGCAGACGGAGCGTGTAAATCGCACGCTCGAGCAGATGCTGCGCACCTATATACAAGCCGATGAGCGGGATTGGGAGTATCTACTGCCTGCCGTAGCGCTTGTCTATAATACAACGCCGCACTCTCCCACGGAACGTTCACCTTTCGAAGTAATGATAGGGGAGAACCCCCTTACAGCGGCAGATCTAGATGTTATAGGGACGTTACCCCCAACACTCTCGCCTCCCATGGCAAAGCTCTTCCAGCGACTCTGCGACAGGGCGCAGGCCCATGTCCTGCAAGCAAAATGGCGCCAGGAGTACTAACCGGACGCTTGGAGACGGCCGATGGAATATAAGGTGGGGGACCGAGTGAAAGGAAATCTACCGGATAGGCGAATATCTAGCGGAAATGCTTGTTGGGTGGGCAGGGCAGGGGGCACGCAGCCTCGGAATGCCCCTCCACCCAGAAGGCTTTACGTCGTACAGGGAAGACGTGCCGGAGATATGGGGGTGAAGGGCATTATGCAAGGGACTGCCCTTCTTCGGGTACTATTAGAGCCGGGTAAGCAGCGAGGCCCGAACAGAGGCAGCCACGTTTTAACGTTAAGGACGAGGGACATTTAAACGGTTGAGCCTAGACGTCCAGGGGAGCGAATGTACTAGGCGATATTCTAATGCTAAGGGAGCTTTGTGTGCAGTAGCGACAGGGCCTAATACCATAGTAGTCTCCTTTCAAAGGATAAGCAAGCGGAGACGAAAGGGCAGGTAGCACAGAGACCCCAACAGATGCTAGTAGAGCGATATAACGCAGGGATTGTACCGCCGCCAGAGGAAGAAAACAAGCTTAGTAGAGACCAAGGAGCAGCAATAGAAGAGAATGATGCACAGGATGTGTACGCTAGAGAGTCACAGTGGTGGAGAGGAAACAGACCCCAGTGTTAGGGGAATATTGTGTAATGCAGGAACTATTGCCACTTTGGGGGTCAAAATGGCAGGAAGCGAATGGTCGGCGCTATTAGATTCAGGGGAATCAAGGAGTTTTATCAACCCTAGGACTGTGAATAGTCTACATCTAAGAGTACGACGGCTGGGAAGGGAGTGAATTTTCTCAGTGGCCAACGGTGAGCAAATAACGATTGATCGGGTAGGAAAGGGACTGACAATGTGATGCGGAAATCTGCGATTGTGCGGAGACTTCTTGGTTGGGCCTGTACCATATGATTTAGTACTAGGACTCGATCGGTTAACTGAACATAAGGTGGCATGGATCTTCCACTCTGATAAATTACGTGCATATGTATATGGGCGATGGTGCGATCTAACCTTAGCTCGTACCAAGCAGAAGAAAACAAAGAAAGAAAACATTCCAGCAGCACGTCTACCGAACCCTGCGGACCAGGCTTACGATATACTTGCTAAACAGGTAGCCCCTATGCCACTGAATGAGGCGAGAGCACTTCTACGTCCACCCCGCAGGAGGTACAAAACACCCGCTTGGGGAAGGAAGAAAGTGAAAATATACGCATTACTACAACAAGCTAAGAAAAATACATACGGACTATCGCACCCGTTACATGGGTTATCCAACATACTTGCTCTTCCGGTAGGTCAGGACTCGTCGGATGAGGGATAGGGGGCCCTGCTTTATGCTTTGTTTGAGACCTCACCAACTTCTGTCAGGCAGGCAGATACAGAAGTTCCGGCAACTAATGAACTGACGGACGACGTAGAATAATCCCCTTGGCAAACAGCCTCCTTGGAACATACTCACTTTGATTAATGGATGGAGTCAGAGGTTGCAATGGCAACTCCACATCAAATTCTAGATGTACTGCGAGGTTATCGTGTGGTATTCCCTGATAAACTTCCTTCAGGGTGGACCCCGAAGAGCTCATACGATCACACGATCCTACTGCTGACACGGAAGTTGCCCTCTAGGGCTACTATATATCGTATGGCCCCCCAACAGCTTCAAGCACAAAGACAGGAAATCGCTAAATTATCGTCTAATGATTGGATTGAACCTACTTACTCCTGTATCTGCGCCCCAACAGAGTAGGCGGCGACGCGTTGTGGTATGAAGCAAAGCAAGGATTCTGTCGGATACTTTTTTCAGCTTCTTTTTGCACATGTATTTTGCTCAAAATGAACGAGTAGGTCGCCGTAGGCCACGTCGCAATATCTTCAAGAGTAGTTAAAGTTGCCCACAGCTGTCAGCGTCGTAGATTGAGGCGTCCAGAAGAGCAATATGCCCTCATCTTCCAACTATGCAAACTAAGAAACCCCGAAAGGCATATCTAACAAATTCCCATCTAGCATCTCTTTGGCCTTAAACGGTTCTACAGGGATATGTCAGTGGGCATTATAACGACTACCATTAGTCGGAGGCAACGGTGAGGGCCAAGGTGTCACGGATAGTCTCGGCACGTATATCCAGGATCATTTTCCGTGACAACAAGCAGATTGGTCCCCCGTATTATTAAAGGGGGCTGTTTGTTGTGAGAGTCGTCAACTTTAAGTAAGGTGCAACGTCGTGCCACGGTCTGCAGAGCATGTCCTATCTGAACGCAGTCTACGCTTAATTCTACCTGGATGTACCCAAGCACATATACAACACACGCATACACGGTTAGTTCACGCATTAAAGTTTGCTTGGTTGTGCTGGCATATTAGGCTTCCGTGCAACACAAGCCGCAGCACGGTGAGTTACAACCATTGGAAGGCCGCCTCCGCTCTCCAGCGTCCCCAGGCCTGTAAACCGCTGTGTGCAGGATGCGCGGAGACTGCGAAGGGACCTCAGTTGACTTTTTGGGACATCTCACGTGTTTTGGCTCCACTAGAGGTCGCCGCGTGTCTCGGCTATTGTAGACAACTCTTGTAACAGCTTAAGTCTTGTTTGTGCAAAAAGGAGCCTGGTGCAAGCACGCAGCTGGCGCTGCCTACACTGGAGGAGCTGCAGCAGCTGATGCTAGAAAAAAGCACAGGCAAGTGTTTGGTTTATTCCTGCCCCAGCACTCCGAGCAGCTTTGCTCAGGACTCCTGGCAGCGGGACTTTGAATAGCGGATTATAAAGGATGTTTCCGGCGAAGGTGATTTCACAACAGATTCAGTAAGTCTGTATTGAAATCCAAGCGTCCTCGCAGCGGAAGGTGCTGGCTGGGCCGCTTTGGTGCTTGGGCGCAGGGCACAGAAAGAGCAATAGCACCTGGTCGTTAGTCTGGTGCTGTGCCATCCGTTGGGCCTCTTCGCGGTTTCAGCTTTTGCAGCTACCTTTTGCTGCTGGTGGTGGAGCTATTTCGGACGAGACTGTTTTGCCTCTTGCTGACGCCGGTGCCTTGACGGGAGGGCACTGCAGCGGTACCATTGTCGACAGCAGACGCAGTCCGAGAAGGGCTGTGCACATATTCGCCTGAAGGCCTAGGTGTTAGCTTTTTGTTTAAAGGGCCATCTCCAATCACTGGAGGGAGTCCTACCAAAGCTCCCTCGTTGGAAAAAGCACCTTCGGAGCCGAAGATACTCCCGCCGCTGTTGCTGTTGCTGCTGTTATTTCCATTATCTGTGCTTGCCGATCCCAAGCCCACTTCCCCGAGAGTTGGTGGGTCTGTTGCAGCTGTACCTGATGCACCAGATGCTCCACTGCGTGGTGAGGCTGCCCGTCTCCTTCTTCCGTAGGGGCTGGCTCTGCGGCGTCTGGAGATGGCAGGTGAACGACTGCCTGGACATCATGTAGAGGCGCACACACGTTGCAAGCTATCTGGACGTTAATAATCCAGATTTTCGAATACCGCAGAACCGTCAAGTGCATATGCGGATACATGCATGGCTGGATAGCGAGGTAACCTAGGCAAAACTGACGGCATGTCTTGGTATCATGGAGACCTAAACAGATAGTGTGAGCACTAGTGGCCACCCTCGTTGCAATGTTGCGGGGAAACGCTGAACCGTTAAAACGGGAAGCGGATGGATGTGAGCCTTGCGTGGAAAAACCAGGCGAGGGGGTGTGTGCTCGGAGGTGCATTATTCAGACAAATGTTTTTCTTCGAACGGGAATTGGAGACACATGCCAAACAACAAATACCCAGCCATTCATAGTAGAGGAGTAATGCATGCAAGTACAGATTTCGAGGTGGCACGACTTTAGGATTCTATTGTTAGGAGCGGCACTAACTTCGAGAAGAACCCCCAGAGCGTGTTGATGCTCTGCCTCGCACGTATTTGGGGGCATTCATCATTTGAGAGATTGCGGCGACCCCAAAGGCGACGGAGAGAAAGCAGCAGAGCAGCAGCCACCAACAGCATGGCAAGGTCAATGTATACAGTTTAGAGCCGAAAGGGGCCCCCTTGAGATCGTCCCAGGCCTCAAGCACACCAAACCCTACCAACGTTAGACAGGCCCCAGCAAGCAGCCATAGCAGGCCGCTTAGGCACTGCCTGTGATAGTGCTGCTCCAATATCCACCTGCAACGCAACACGAGAAGCAGCAAGAGCAGGCACAGGGCAGCACCAGCAACGCAAACAACGGCACCGCAGCTAGGCGGCTAGCGGATTGCCTCGTTTGTCATGCATATCTGAGAACGTTGCCTCCCCAAAAATGTTCCGTTGTATAGTGTCTCTACAGCGAGAATATCTACTGGTGACCCCAGGAAAATCCTGTAGATGCTGGTGTTTCTGTATTTCTTGGTAATGCTGCAAGCCGAACTATATCTCCTTTCTAATTCTCTTGTGGACAGCCTACTGCTGTCTGAGACTGCGGTGTGTTTCCTTCTTTGTTCTTGCTGCTGCTGAATTTTCTGCTTCTGCGGATGCTGGAGGTTTGGAAGGAGCTGTAGGTGCTGTTGCAGGAACGGAGACAGCAACAGAGCAACCCTTCTGGGAACAATTGTGGGTCCTTATGTACCTCCTCCGCAGTTCCGCCATTGCTGAGCGCACACTTGCGGGGACCCGCTGCACTTCACTCTGCAGGATCACCAATACATCGCAAAAATAAGCTACATGCCGTTCTTTCTATGCCCCTGTTCGCAACCAACTGTGGAAGCTGCCGACACTTAGGGGAATTCCCGCGTGCCGGCTATTCCTCTTGCTGCAGGAGCACTACCGTGCCTTGACACTGTTATTTCTGCTGGTACAACTGTCCTTCTGCGATTTACCCCTGGCTGCCAGCTGTAAGAACCGTCGCCTCCTGTGTAGCTTACAAACCACCATTCCTGTAGCGGCAACATGGTGATCAGCACCAACACAAGATGCTGCTGCTCTTTGCTAGCCTCAAAGACAACATTAGGGGTAGAAAACAAAACAGAAGTAAGCTGGCCACACCTTTCCGTTGACTTGTCGATATTTTTTGACATCAGAGACCTCGAATCCAGCCATTCTCGTTGTGTAGCCACTGAACACTGAAGCAACAGCAGCAGCACCGGCAACTAGCCTTTTCTTCAACAGCACTGCCTGACTTTTCCTGTATATTACTCCCAATCCTGAATCTCGGCACACTACAGTGGCACTGCTGCACTCCCTTCCTGTCTGGGTGCTCTTCCAAAGGGGCCTTAGGGCTTCGTGCAGCTCTTGCGTTCCCCTGGGCTGTGAATTTAGCTCCACTAGGTTCAGGATCCCTCTTGATTGTCCACTAGTGATTTTTAACGTGTTGCTAATTTAAGTTATGGGGGGCCAGTCTTGGGGCCCCATTGGCACTTGTAGGCTCCCTGGGTGGATAAGGGGAGAACCAGGGGACCATGAGTCTTTAATTCAGGTAGAAAGGGAGCTACAGCAACTTGATCAGCAGTCAGGTGGGAGAGCAGAGGTGTCGAGCGGGAAGAGTGGTTTCAAGGCCGGACGGTACAGGGTCAGCTGGCAGGCAGGGACCCGCAGGGGATTTGCTGTGTCTTGCCTGCTAGAGAGCCTTTGGTATTTGTACGAGTTTAAGCAATAATTTCGAAATACAACCGTTTATTAGTACAGGAGCCAGGTAGGGCCTCAGCGTTTTTAGTACAAGGGCCTTGATTTGATGCGGCGGGATTAGCGCACCGCAGCGGACTTGCTGCTCCTGCTGCTGCTGCTGCTGCTGCTGCTGCTGCTCGGCGGAGTCTTGCTGCTCTTCTATCCCGTATTGTGATAATAAAGGGTTTTGTATAGCAGGAATGCATGCTTGCTTAGCGCAGTAGGACCAGCAGCAGCACGAGAAGCAGCGGCTGCTGCGGCAACGGGCGCACGGGGACCGTGGCGCTACTGCTGCTGCTGCTGCTGCTGTTGCGGCGGCGGCGGCGGCGGCGGCAACACAGATCAGCAACTGCAGCTGTTGCAGTAGCGGCGAGAAAATTATTAAAATCACCCTTCACAGCGCATTTCCAAATGAAGAACCCTTTAATACAAGGGACTTAGCAGCAAGCGAAGCCAAGGTGGGCAGCAGCCACGCTTGGGTGTATAGGCAGGTCTCAGTGTTGCGTGCTCGGGAGTGAGCTAACGTGGCGTTACAGCAGGAAATGCTACTGCTCTTGCAACAGTTGTGGCTGTTGTTGCTATTGTTTCCAGTCGAACGCAACAAGCAGAGGTAGCCTTGAAGACGGCAGCACGGGGGGAACAGCGCGAGCAGCAGCAGCAACAACAGCAGCGGCAGCAGTGGCAAAAGCAGTGGTCCATGCCACGTGAAGTGACCTTATTTCTGTGTGTGTAGAGGGAAGCAAATTACCTCTCGGGAGGGGAGGTAGACACCGCCAGCAGCAGCCTGGGGTTGTTGGGGTGGTGGAGCTCCTGCAGCTGCACACTTGTGCTGCAGTGTCAGCTGCTACGGCTGCATGTATATGCGGCAGTTGCAGCTGCCGCAGCTGCATGCGTCTGCCGCAGTATCTGCTGGAGCTGCATTCATGTATTCATTGTCAGCTGCTGTTGTGGTCATTGGGTTTTCGTACGGGGGTGTATGGACACTGCAGGTGGTGTAGTAGGAAGTATTCTCACACGAACGACGCCTGCGCTTTCTGCTTCGTCTTGTGTTCAGGGCATCCAAAGCATTTCATCGCGCAGTGGGAGCTGCACAAGCAGCAGCAAATGATTCAGCAGCAGCAGTAATAGCAGCAGTAATCAACCGGCAGCGGCCCTGTTGATAAAGTCACAGGGGCCTAAAGCACCAACAAGGTGCAGCAAAAGCAGCAGCGCAGCGGGAGTCCCGCAGAGGGAGTAGCAGCTGCAGCGACAGCAGCTGCATTGACAGTAGCAGAAGCAGCAGCAGCAACCCCGAAGGATATCTTTCCCTTAGTCTCCGCTATGAGTGCAGGGGACATGGGAGAGGCTGCATCTCCCGTAGCAGCTAGCGAATCCCAGCTTCAGCAGCAGCAGGAGCAGCAGCAAATGCTGCCTAAACAGCAGGATGCAGAGCAACAGCTGGACCAGCGTTCCGTGCCGGAGGAGAGTTTGAAGAGGCCCGACCAAGAGGATATGCCACAGCAACAGCAGCAAGAGCAACAGTTGCAGTCGACGACGGCGAATGGGGAACTCCCGCAGCAGCAGCCACACCACCAGGAGCACCGTGAGCAGGAGGAGCAGCAGCATGCGCCCCCGCCACAGCCGGCGCAGCACGAACAGCAGGAGCAGCAGGACCAACCGCAGCAGGACCAACAGCAGCCGGAACAGCAGGAGCAGGGCCAGCAGCAACAGGGCCAGCAGCAACAGGGCCAGCAGCAACAGGGCCAGCAGCAACAGGGCCAGAAGCAGCAGGGCCAGAAGCAGCAAGGCCAGCAGCAGCAGCAGCAGCATCCTTTGCCGCACAAGGCGCCTCCTGTGGAGGTGAAGTTATTTGTGGGGCGTGTACCACGGACTGTTCAAGAAGAACAGCTGAGGGACATCTTCTCTCAGTATGGTGTTGTTACTGACTGTCTTGTTATTAGGGAGAGAAATACCCACAAACACCGCAACAGCGCCTTTGTTCGCATGAGTACAATTTCCCCCTAAACACTAAATCCTCATCATATATCCCCTTCAACTGCATCTACTGCTGCGCGTGTGCTGAACCGATAGTGCGGGGTGTCTGCATGCTTAACTGTCTCCTTGATTATGTGGTTCTCTTGTCTTGCTGGATGCGTATCCAATATGCCTGTTGCCTCTTTTCTCTTATGTAGACCCAAACAGAGAAACACTGCGTGCGTGCTTCTCTACTTATTTATATTCAAACAAACTTGTTTATATCCTCCTGCTGTTGTTTGCGTGCAGTACAATGGGTATGCTGTTTCCTTTGCTCTCTTGTGTACTTTTAACTTAAATGTATTACAATTGCCTGCTGCTGTTTGTATATAAGCAAAGGGGATTGGATTTTTATGACCATTTTATGTTTACATTGAAGGCATTGGATGCTTGTATATTTCCTTGCAAGCTTATTTAGATGTTTCTGCCCTTGTTTCCCCACAAAGATAATGCTGGCGACTGTCTCTTCGACCCCAGGCAGAAGTACATGCCTATTTCCTTTTCATGTATTTAAAGAGTGCAGGAAGCGGAGAGTTGGAGCTCTCTTCTTCTTGTCTCCTCGCAGGCAGTATCGTTTTCTTAAAAACAATGCCCCCCTTTAGTCTGCTATGACACCAGGGTTTAGGGTTTAGGGTGGGTTTGGGGTTTGTGTGCAGGCTCTTTGGCATTTGCGGACGCGGCGATTCGCGCTCTCCATGGCACGCTGTGTCTGGAAGAGGGCGCGAGTGCATTGGTAGTAAAATATGCTGCAGGGGAAGCTGCGCGGTTGGGGCTGTCTGCTGCGGCAGCAGACGGAGGAATAGACAAGGCGAAGCTGTTCGTGGGATCGATCCCCCGCGCAGCAACAGAAGAGGAGCTGCGCTCCTTTTTCAAGACCTTCGGGTCAGTGGAGGAGGTATTTATTTTGAGAGACAGCGGCAGCGGGGGGGGCAAAGGATGCGCCTTTATTAAGTACCGCTATAAAGAAGAGGCATTGCATGCAATTAAAACTCTATCCGGGAGACACACGTTTAAGGGCTGCAACAGACCCGTTGACGTCCGCTTTGCAGAGACAAAGGTCAAACAGCCGCAGCAGCAGCATCACCTGCTGCAGCATCAACTCGGGCTGCAGCAGCATGCGCGGCTCTCCCCAGTAGCCGCGGCAGCAGCAGCAGCTGCTGCCAAAAACTACAACCCACGACAAGCGGGACCCTGGAGAGAGTACTTTACTTCCGACTGCATGCCTTACTACCACAACGAGACAAACAACGTAACGACATGGGAGAAACCAGCGGACTTCGATGCATTGTGTGGGGTGAGCAGCAGCGGGAGGAGCGGCTGCTGCATGCAGTCGGGAAACGATCCCACGGGCCCCCCCGGCGCCAACATATTCATTTTTCATATCCCTAAGGATTGGGGGAGACAGCAGCTGCTGAGTGCCTTTGGAGGGTTTGGCGCCGTTGTCTCTTGTTACGTAGCGCTAGACAAGGAGAGCGGTAGGAACAAAGGGTTTGGTTTTGTTTCTTATACTACTCCTGCTGCTGCTGCTGCGGCTGTCAATGCTATGAACAACTGTGTTGTCAGCAACAAACGTCTTAACGTATCCATTAAAAAAGGAGAAGAGAAACACGCAGCACTCCACCTCCTCTCCCCAGCAGCTGCCCAGCAGGCCAAGCGACAGCAGCAGCAGCACCAGCAGCAGCAGGCGTTGCAGCAGCAGCCGCACATGCAGCTCCAACAGCAGCACAACTTCCAGCCCCAACATCATACCATCGCGCAGCAACAGCAGCCTTATTGCGTCCCTCCCGTTTGTTCCCCCATGCAGCCGCAGCAAGATGACTCCAACGATACCGCGGCAGTGGCAGCAGCAGCAGCAGCAGCGCCCGCAGCAGTTGTTGGATACAGCGCTGGCCAGCAGTTGTCCCCTTACGCAACGCAACCCCAACATCAATTCCCGCATTGTTAAGGTGTGCAGCGGAAGCCACCACCACAGCAGCAGCGTCCGTTCCTGCTGCTGCTGCTGCTGCTGGTGTGTAGCAGCTTCTCCGCCGAACAGCCAACTGCGTCTCGGCCTTATTCTCCAGGTAGCTGCAGCGGCGGGTGCCGCTGCTGCATGCATGACCGCCAGCGACGACTAATTGCAGCAGCAGCAATAGCAGCAACTTGGCGAAATTTGGCAGCGACAATAAGATAAATCAACAGCTTCATCCGCAGCATTGGCCAGAGTCGGCACAGGAGCAGCAGCAACAACATCTGCTGCTGCAGCCTAGTCGGTCCATCGCAGCCAGCAGTTCCTCAAGACTCCAATCTTAAATCCACCTCTTCGTCATTTTCGCGCCAGCCCCACAGCTACTTCCTTTATGCAGCAGTGGCAGAAGCAGCAGCAACAGCAGCACAGGCAGCGGCAGCAGCAACGAAAGAGGACGCGAGGACTTGCGAACTGCAGGGTTACGTACAGCCCAGCGGCATCTCCTCCTCCACGGGCAGCGTACATCGTTCCTGCTGCAGCTGCTGCAGCTGCTACAGCTGCAGAAAGCAAGACAGCGACGTTTGCGCCCCCGCTGGGGCGATGGTGATTTGTCACGGCAAGAAGGATCTTGTGAGGTGTCTCTGGAGACACCCAAGGGGAAGCAGCAGCAACGCCAGCGTTAAAGAAAAGGCCAGGCAGCGACTACAGCATCAGCAGCAGTCCCACCAGCACATAGGGTAGGCAGCAGCAACCTGAAACACCGCAGCGGCAAGGCAGCGTATAAGGCAGCAGCACCAGCTGCTGCAGCAGCGGCCCTTCGTGCAGCAGCAGCAGCGGCTACTGCAGAATCAAGAGCAAGTGCATCTGCAGCAGCAAAGACGGCAGCAACAGCGTCTACTGCAGCAGCGACCACGACAGCGTCAGCTGCAACCGCAGCAGCAACCCACAGCGACACCACAGCGTTTTTTTGCTGCTCCTATTTTTTAGAAGCCCTTGTGGTTTGAGGACTTCGCCTAATTCCGCGAGTAGAGAGCAGGGCAGCAAGAAGTGCAGCCAAGCAACGATGGCTTTCTTCACAAGAAAAGGTACTGGCCAAAATGGCTATCCTAGAGCATAATAATATATTGCTTTCTGCAGCAGCAGAAGCAACTGCGCAGTCGTCGAGGGAACACCTCATAGACTGCGAGTGATACTGTAGCTCATAGGAACGAATGCGGATAAGTTGAGCCAGAGCAGTTCGGGGTCGATCTGTCTCCTTCCTTCCGTGTCTTTTCCCCTCTCCCTCCTGTCTTTCTTGAGAGAAGAGGTTGTTGTCTCCTCTGTCTTCCTTCGCCTGTCTCCTGTCTCTCTTCGGGAAGGGCTATTGTCTCTCCTGTCTCCTGTCTTCCTTGAGGAAGGGTTGGTTGCTGTTTCTCTGTTGTTGCTCTGCATTGCACTATGCCCAGAAGGCTCCAGCATTATAGCACATTGCTGCAACACGCAGCACTTGAAAGAGACAGAGGCAGCAGCAGCAGCAGTTTAGCAGCTCCCATCCACCTCCGAGGAAATAAAAAACAACAAACAGCACGCGCGCGTCTGCAGCGAGGTTCAAACGCTATTTCTGACAACAAAAGGACAGCACGTAAGTTGCATGCATGGTGCGGCATCCCTGCAGCAGCAGCTGCAGCTGCAACGGCACCAACGCAGGCAGCAGCTATGGCCTTTGCTGTAGCAGCAGCAGCAGCAGCATGGCATCGCGGATGCCTCGAAGCTGCTGTCTGTGTTGGGGCCGGAAATGCGGTCTTGTTTAATTGGGTGTGCCGAGCTTCCCTCGGGAGCAGCGGGACTTGAGGAGACAGCTGACAGAGGCCTCCCTCAAACCTCCAGGGCCTGGAGGTGTCTGTACACCAGAGCGGTCGTTCAGCGCTGCAGAGAGCTGAGGAGACACCTGGAATCGCTTCAGTGTCGGGTTCGACTGCATGCGAACAGAAAGAGACCCAACTATGGGAGGCCCAGGGGAGGCCTCCGTGTTGGCCCTCTTTGTCTTAACTGGTCTCTGTCCCTTTGCTCTAGAAAGACTGCAGCTCCATTGCTGAATGACGTGCAACCAATCTTGCAGTGGTTCTTTATGGTGTCTTTCCTCTGCTGCTAAGAGACAGCATAAGGGCCCTGAGTGAGAGTGTCTTCCTCTGTGTCCCGTCTTTTTAGATGTTATGTGTACACAAACAGTAATGTATGGAGCAGACATCTTCGAGTGGGTGTGTAGATGTATAGTGTTCATTCTATTTATATTATATATAATATACATACAATGCATATCTCATATGTATTGTATATAATAGAGTGTATATTCAATGTTTTTTTGAGTACGTAGTGTCCATCTGTACATACAAACATAATTAATGTGTTTACGTACACGAGGAGACCCAGGTGGGCCGTTCGCTGGCTGCGTCTATATTTGCTTGTCGCATGAGGATCCTATATACAGTGTATTGTATATGTTTTTTCTATATGTAGGATCCTTTTTCCCTCGCATCCCCTGTGTCGGCGTGTGTCTCCCTTTGCTTCTTCTCTCCATCCACGCGCCTATGTATGCGGTGACGTGCGTGTCTTTGCCTGTCGTATAGTCGTGTCTCCGTCTATATCTGTCTCCACGGGCCCCTCCTCACCTAGGTGTTTCCTCGTGAGTTGTTTTTTCGCCGTCGCTTTTTTTATAGTCTTTTGAATGTTTGGTTGCATTGGCTGTGCATGCAGTTGTTGCTCGGCTTGTTTTTGTGTTTTCCGCTCCATCGCGTCTGCTCGCGTATCGTTGTAGTAATCCTTGTGGCGGAGTTTTCATTTTTTTTTTGCAACATGAGCTGTTAAAACGTAACCGATTTACAGTTAGGTATATGTCTCTTAGACATATTCCCTGTCGTAGGTTGTGCATATATGTATGTAAGCATATACGCATGTATAGGCTCGCCTGCTGTCTGCTCCGCTGCATGCAATGTTCCCTATTGCAGCAGTGTCAGGAGCGACTGCCTGTTATTGTTTCCTTATTTTTGTTTTGTGACTCTGCTCTTGTGCCTCCTTTGAAGACGTTTGAGGTATGCAGCGCTGGGCATATCTTTTTAGGCACCGTCTCGGTTGTATGTAACGACGGGGCGGGGGAGCAGCAGCAGCAGCTGCTGCTGTTACTCCTTAGCACTCTTTTGCTGCAGGAAAGGCTGCAGAATAATGCATAACTAAAGCTGAATGTAGTAAACACATGAGAAGGACCCACAGAGACAGGGGAGGAGGTGCTGACCGCCCACTTCTCTCTTGCCTCTCTGTGTCCCTACGCAGCCTCTTTTCTGAGGCAGCGGTGGTGGTACCTTCCACTAGTTACTTTTCTCTTCAACAACTAAAACAACAAATGTATTTTTTTCTTATTTTTATTTCTTAAGACTTCTGGTGTGAAAGCTTTGTTTTGCAGCAGTTCCGGGGTCCTGCGATCGATCGATCCACGGAGTCGTATGCGGCCTTCCCCGGACTTCGTTGCTGTTGACGTCTCCGCTAGCGAGTTTGAGGTGTATGTACAGCTCATTATAAAGGCAAATACAATAGGGAGAGCAAAAATGTGCTAATAGACATCAGAAAGGCAAAACTTGCCGTCTCAGCAGGGCCCTTCTTCGAGAGGGCCCACTGGCGGCACGGGGTCACCCTGACTGAGACAACGGTTTTTCGCTGTGACCACATTTCCTTCGTCATTTTCCATTTAATATATTTCATACAACTAGCCGTTAGCATTGTATTTTGCCATTATTTCCAGTAACTTACGGCTACTCCCGTTGTTTCAATCAATCCCCTTGGCAGCCGGCCGCTCTCATGGTGTGCAGGAAGACCAATGGGAAGAAGAGGTATCGGGGCCCTTTTGCTACAGCTGCTGCAGCCGCTACCTGCAGCTGTACCTTTTTGGCTTTCTGGTCTGCAGCAGCTGTCGTTCACTCTGTTGCTGCTGTTTCGATGCAACAGTGCGATGAACAACACGGGCTGGGCTGACACCAAAAATTACCTATACGCCTTCCTCGTCGTTGACGCAGCCCTAGGTGAGACAGTACAGCAACAGAAGCAGAAGACAGCAGCAGCAAAGGCAGCTGCAGCAGAGGCCAATGGCGCCCCTGCTACCCCCTTTCCCTGCCACCAGTCGTAAGGCGACTCCTGGAGTTCATGGTGTAATGTCGCTTTATTTGTTTCTGTCCCCTTTTCTGGCCAATTAAGTGCATTGTGTATTACTTGGGGATTCCATATGTGATGTACATTATATATAATGTATTATAGTGGCTGCAAGCACTTCCTATGAGGCTCGTGAGGGCGTTGCTATTGGATTTTGAATGCGGGGCCCTTTTGACAGCTTTCGAGTGTTTTGTCTCTTGTTTGCTGCTGCAGCTCTGTTTGTCTCTTGCCTCCCTGCATGCACTCTTGGCAAGCGTGTGGGGCCCCTCTGTTCGCTGCAGTGGCTGCTGCACTGCTGCCTCCTTGCTCTTAAGCTTGCTGCTTGTCCCTTCGTGTGGCGTGTCTGGTGGCCAACAGGGGCCCACCCCCAGCCCCACAGGCTCTCTCATTTATACCGTACCTTCTCCTCGTCCGACAGAGCAAGTACGTGGGAAAAGAGTAAAACGTCAGCCTATTATTATCCCTATTCTAATAACACCAGTGCAAGTGGAGTCTCTGCTTGTCCTTTCTTGTTTCACTTCAGCTATCTACCTTGCAAGCTGCTGCATCTTCCTCACTCCCATCGTCTTTCTCTCTTTTGCCGCGTGCTCCTACCTCTACTCTAAAGCACCGTGGGCCCCCTGGGGGGCCCCCAGAGGGTCCATCGACGCCTCCACCTCTAAGACCCCGTGGGAGAAACGAGGGGCCCTCAGGGGCCCCAACGCCAACCGCTTGATGACTCTTGCAGACCTTACCTTGTCGCTTACCTTAGATCTGCTGGACTTGGCGGCTGCGTTTTCTTTAGCCTTGAGTGCGGGGCCCCCTCTTCTCTTAGATAGCTCAACTTTTCCTTTAGAGGGCATAATGTCTTTATGAAGTCACCTTGAGTTTAAGCAGCATAAGATAGCAGAGGCACCTCACATCACTTGTAGCACTAAACATATCCTTACAGTTTAAGCAACTGGAGGCCTTCGTAGCAGGATACCAGGAAGTCGTGAGGCTCCCTCGTGTTGCCCTGGTCTAGTGAGCTCCCCTCTTTATCTATAGGCATACCGCAGCGAGCAGATAAGCTAGCCAACCAGCCATCCAAATAGGCAACCAGCTTGCTAGCCAGCTAGATAGCTAGCCCGTTCGGGTGTCACTGCAAATTGCTGCTAGCTGCCCATTTATCTTTGTCCAGTTGTAGTAGGAAGCATCCCTCTACCTCGGTGATCCGCTGCTGCGCCAAATGGGTCCGTGCCTTGGGTGTCTCTGCAGCACTGCAACAGGATTATCGGGGGCCCCACAAACCATCCCAGGGCCCTTTATTGCCCTTCTCCAGTTGCATGTTGATGCTGCTTCCTGGTGCTCTCCTCCTCCTGGGATTTGCCTTCCCCGCGGAACTGCGAGTCCGCGGACCCCCGGGGCCCCCTGCGACCCTGGGCCCACCGGCCTTGGTGTCTCGAGGGAGTACAGCTTCCGTTGGTGGGCCCCCAAAGACCTCTTCTGAAGAGACCTCTTCCACACGGTGGGTGTTGAGCAGCAAGTCATGGGTCGGCTCAGATGTGTTTCTAACATCCAAATATGCATTCTTGGTGGGGTTGTTCCTCATAGACATTCCTGGGGTGACCTTTCGGTTAGCTGCGCTGCTGCAGGAGGGTCCCCTAGAGGGGGGGCCCCTTTTGTGCCCTTTGCTTCTCAAAAACTTCGTTTGGCTGGCGCTAAGACCCCTCCGCATGCACCAATGTGTGCTGGCAGAGAAGGAAGAGGCGCAGTGGTTCCAAAGAGAGGTCCTCACTGTAGCAGCAGACGCGTTGCTTCACCCTCCTGCTCCGGCTGCTGCGGACACAGCCGCAGCAGAGACCCCCTCCTTGTTCATGGGCCACCGTGGCCTTGCTTCTACTCCTCCACTTCCAAGAGCATCATTAGACGGAACTGCTGTACCTGCAGCAGCAAGAAGGAGGCCCCCAGACAAAAGGAGACAGGGTACCGCAAGAGGAGCCTCTCAACGAGGACGCGGGCAACGTAGACGTGAGTCTTTCAAACCTGAAGCAGCAGAATCAAGGGCGGTTGCTGCTGCTGCTGCAGCTGCTGTCCACGAGAGACAGCAAGCCTTCCTGTTACACCTCCTGGGTATGGATCCAACAACTTGCCCTACAAGCATAGAGCTGTCTCTTTGCTCCGCAGCCGCAGAAGCTAACGATGTGTTGATAGCAGGGCCAGGTTCGCCTGGGAGAGAAGAGGCCCGTTCTGCAGCAGCAACAGCAGCAGCAGAAGCAAAAGCACGGCGATCAGCTTCAACGCTCACAGACGTGCAGCAGCAGCGAACACACAGGAGGCCGCTGGAGGCTTTACTGACGTACAAACCCCGGCGCATCTTGAAATTGCTGGGGAAGCAGCATGAAGAGGCGCAAGGGGGTACCCACTCTGCAGCAGAAGCAGCAACAGTAGCAACAGGAGAAACGGCAGCTGCAACAGCAACAGCAGCAGCAGCTGCAGCGGCAAAAGGTGCAGGAGCTTCGAAGAAGCACTTAAGACCTATGTTACCCAAAGCCCTTACCCTTGAAAGACTAAGGAGACTCCACAAAGAAGGCATTAGGCCGGAGGGACTGCGCAGCTGCTTATCTGCTGCTCTTGAGTCTTCTGCTGCAGTAACAGCCTCCCATGACTCTTCAGCAGCGGCAGCAGCAGCAGCTGCTGCAGCAACCGCAAGGGAGAACGCAGCTGCAGCTGCAGCCAAAAAGGCTCCAGAAACAGCTGCAGCAGAAGCCCAAGCTCAAAGGCAACTGGGCAGGAGGCTTGGAGGGCGTTTGCTGTCTCTTCGTGTTCTTCCAGGCCGCCGCCGCTCTACCGTGCCTTCCCTGCTGCACCAAACCGAGCAGCAGCAACGGCGGCAGCAACAGAAGCAGCAACAGCAGCAGCAGGAAAAGCAGAAGCTGCAGCTGTCTGTACCGCTCCCTACTTGTCCTGTGCGTCTGCAGTCGTATCCAGGGACACCTGCCGATCCTTCCGAGGTGACAGTCTCTGTGACAAGTAGGGCAGGGTCTCCTTCTCTGTCTCTGCTGCAGTGTTCTTCTCTGTCGCCTTGCAACCGTGTTGCTGCGCTTCCTAAGGGGGGGAGGCCCCAGGGGCCCCCTGTTCATTCTCTCCAAGCCCCACATTTCAAACCACAACAGGTAAGGGGAGATGAGGCCCCTGGGCTGGGTCCTGCTGCTCGAAAGACACACAGGGGTCCCCCCGCTGTTGTAGGTAAATCCACCGAGGGCACTCCGCACAAACCGTTTGGGTGCCGTACTCCCGGAGGCCCCAGCCATAGTGTATCCTTAGCCCAGGCCTTCCTCAACCTACAGGCACAAGACAGCCAAGATTATGGAGACAGCGACACCTCAGAAGCAGCAGCAGCAACACCAGCACGGGCAGCAGAAGCAGTAACACCAGCAGCGGGGTGCCGCACCTGCAGTTCCATTTCCACTATCCACCCTCTTCCATACACCGACGAGGCACGGGCCGCTTTTGCTACAGCCGCTGCTGCTCCAGCTGTTGCAGCAGCAGCTGCTGCTGCAACAGCACATAGTGAACTCAAGACAAAGGACGGAGAAAATGTAGACACCCCAAATAACTGTTGCTGCTGCTCCTGGTTACTGCATCTGGGGAGGAGACAGCGAGAGGTTTCACAGCCGCAGCAGCAGCACCGCTCACAGCAGCAACACCACCAGCAGCAGCAGAATCGGCAGCAGCGGCGGTCCCGCGATATTATGGTACAGCACCTGCAGCAGGGCGTGGCGAAGGGGCATTCATCGTCGTACCCCTCTAAGCAGTTGATGGAGTCCCTGAGGAAGAGGCAGCAGCTGCTGCTGCAGCAGCAGCTCCCCCTTAAAGGTGTCGGCATAGGTGTGCTGCTTCATCGTTTGCTACGGCTATTGCTGTGTCCAAGGGGAAGGGGCTTCGCTGCTATAATAGACGACGGGGTATGCATGCAGCGCAAGCAGCAGCTGCTGTTGGCTGCTCTTGCTGCTGCACCCCACTTAGCGAAGCTGCTGCTGATCCTACGTCCTTTCCTGGGTCTGCTTCCTTTGCTCCAGCACTTGCAGCAGCCGCAGCAAGACGAGCAGCAGCCTGCCGATGGAGCAGCAGCACCCCGCAGCAACAGCGTAGATACAGTGGGGGGAGAAGGCAGTCTCCTGCTGCTCGTGCTGTTGTCCCTTCAGTTTTCAATGCAGTGTCTCCTCTACCTCTGCATCTCCCTACCCCTCCTTGATGTTTTATTTGTCTCCTTAGGGGGATGTCTGCGTTTAGCTTCTTTGCATGCGCTTCTGTTGACAGTAGAGACAGTAGGAAGAGGAGGAGGGTCTTCCTCGCTATATGTGGGCACCACCTTGGAGGGGGCCCCACAGACAGACCCCGCAGGGCCCCTGTCGGCAGCAGGAGACAACCAGCAACAAGCCATTGCCCCATTCGTGTTGCGGCTGCTGTTGTGTCTTCCCCCCGTCTTCGCTCTGCTTCAACTGCTGCTGCCCATATGCAGTCTCCTATGCCTTAGGCGCACTATATCCTGCTGTAAGCTGGTGCTGGTGCTGTTGCTGGTGCCTCTCTGCCGTTGCTACAGCAGACAATGCGCGTATTACACAGTCCCATGCCTTTGTTGGGTGCCTGCTGCAGCGTGCCGCAGGCGTGCAACAGCAGCAGCAGCTGCTGCTGCTTCGCAGCACCAGCAGCAGCAAGTAGCAAGGGGCAATGCACTTGGGAAGGTGACCCAAGGAACAGACGACCTGGCAACCCCTGCAGGGACAGCTGGTGTCCTGCTGCTGCTGCTGTGTAGCAACATGGGGGCCCCGCTTTCCCTGCATCCTCTTCTTATAGGGGGCCCCCTTATCCGCAGCGTGCGGCTTTGTGATCAGCTGCTGCAGCAGCACTTCTGCTCGTCGCTGCTGCTGCTGTGCTCACGCGGTGTCACCGCAGGCTGGGCCCCCGGACCTCTGCTGTTAGTAATACACCTTTGTTACTTCTGCTTCTGTTGCTTCTATTTGATGCTGTCTTGCAGTGTGCGGCTGCTGCAGCTGCGAAAACAGGAGCTGCTGCTGCAGTTGCAGCTGCTGATGCAGCCGGAGCAAGCACGGTCGCCGGCGTCCACAGAAGCGGCCGCAGCAGCCGCAGCTGCGGTTGCTGCATCCAACTTTAACGCTGCTACTTCTGCTGCTGCTGCTGCCCCAGGAGACAACTCCATGACAGGACGGAGAGCGCGAGCAGCGGCAGCAAGCGCAGCTGCAGCAGTCGCTGCTGCTGCTGCTGCTCCTCACCTCTCTCCCTACATTCTTCTTTCTGATGTGTGGAGACACCTCGAGATTGAGGGATTCTTCTCCTCTCCAGGTACGATTTGGCCCCCTTGTTGAGGTGATGCAGCAGCAGCAGGAGCAGCGGCAAGCACAAGACTGCAGCAACAGCAGCATCGGCTAAAAGCTGCAGCACCGACGCTTGGTTTCTAAACTCTACAGATCCCCGATAAACTCTACGCATTTAAGGCAACTCAACTCCTTTTAGCAAGCCCATATCCATTGACCAAGACCAGCAGCTGCTGCTGCTGCTACTGCAGGTCTGCTGCTGCTGCAGGTCCAGCTGCTGCTGCAGCAGAGGCATCCCCTGCAGAACAGCATTATTGCTGCTATAGTACAAGCCGCTAAAAGGGGCCATTAACTGTGCACAGGAAATGTTTAAAGCTCTGTTGGCTGGGGAATTGTATAGCTGGTGACCGGAGGCCTTTAAGCCTGCAGGGTGATTTTAGGGTTTAGGGTTTACGGTTTAGGGTTTAGGGTTTAGGGTTTAGGAAACAGTGTATAGCATTTAGGGTCTCATAAGTTTATTCTTAGACGGTCAAGACTCCAGAATTTCTTTGCCAGTAACCCTCCGCAGTCTCGAGGCCTTGCTGAAGGCAGCAGCAACAAGGCAAGGAGTCCCTGCTGCTCGTGTTGCTGCTGCTGCTGCTGCTGCAACTGCAGCAGCCTTGGAATAGGCCGTTGGGCGATCTGGTTCAGAAAGGACATTCCTTTTTATTCGTAAAAGAAACACAGATGTACCTCACGACTACTACTAACAACACAGTAGCAAATCAACTGCTGCAGCTGATTCAGCCGCCGCTGCTGCAGCTGCAGCAGCTACACAGCTGCTGCTGCGTACGGTGTGGAGCACAGCAATCGGCAAAAGAGTCTTATCCTGGTTCGTCAACACATGGCCTGGGCCCGTTGGGTCTGTTAAACCTGTTGCAGTTCTTGTTGCTGTTGTTGCTGCTGTTACAGCAGCAGCAACAACAGCAGCAGCAGCAGCAGAGAGCACAGCACTGCGTTAGCTGCTTCAGAGAACCGTAGGCCTGTGTCTGTAAAAGCAGCATAGGAAGTTTAGTGCTGCAAATAAAGACAAAAGAAACAACCCCCCCACCCCCCTTAGGGCCCCTGGCTAGTTGCCAAGGGGGCCTCCTAGGGTACCCTTAGACACCTTAAGACACTTTAGGATGCCTCTACCCAAATATATGATTCAAATGACCTTTTCAAACACACAATAGAGCCCCCCCTATAAGAACCCCGTATAAGACACCCTAGGGGCCCCCTAAGGGCCGCACAAGGGCCCCTTATTGGCCCGCAACGGTCCTCAAGGGGGCTCGCAAGGGTCTAGGGTTTACTATTTAGGGTTTACTATGCTTGCGAGTCTCGTAAATGAGCTCGGGGGCCCATGAGGCCTCTTGAGGGCCCCTACATCCCCATGGGGGGCCCACCGTGTGAGCCCGTGGGATGCCCCCACCGGGGGGAGGGCCTCTATGGGCCCCTTAAGGGTTCTGTAAGCGACCCTAAGACGAGGCTGTTGGCTGTATTGACAGTCCCGTCTGCAGCAGTAGAGACTTTAGTTGATTGTGAGGGCAAAATGTCAATAATACGAGTAGGGGGTTTGGAGATCTGCAGAAAGATGCACAAAAAGGCACGTGGTGCTGCTAATGCTGTAACTGCTGCAGTGTAGTGGTGCAGCAAGGACAGCAACTGCTGCCGCAGTGCTGTTTCTGCTTAATTTAAAAAAATTAAATTTAAAGAGGACTTTGTGCACCTCATTGCAGTAGACAAGGAGTGTCTTGCGTGTTGCATTGCCATCCTTTCCCTACTGCGTATAGCAGCAGCAACGATAGAAATAGCAGCAACAACAAATGCAGCACCAACAGCAGCAACAGCAGATGCATCACAATGGGGGAGAAGAATGAGGCTTGCCTTAGAGCGTGTTGGCTGGCGGCTTGGTATCTTTGTACTGTCTCCTGTCTCTGTCTCCTCATCAACATAATAATATTCATATACAACTTCTGCTTCCTCGTAGGCCTCCACTACAGTCTTAGCTGTCTCCAACGCATCGCTAAACTCCCCTTCCTCCAGCCCTTCTCCCACGTACCTGTACGTACACAACAAGTAGCAATAGCCTCTACTTGGCTCCCAGCAGCAACAGCTGCAGCAGCAACGGCAGCAGTAGGATAAGCTTCTGCTGCTGCACAAGAAGAGGCCTTTCGTTACTATGACACCCGACACCACAAGCAACGGGAAAGAACGTGGTGAACTCATAAATGCTGGATGTGGGGTTTAGTGTCAAGGGTTTAGGGTATAGGATTTGCCTGAAGACGAATGCCCTCTTGGCCAGCATTTTGTTAGCCTCTTGTACAGTGCGGTTTATCTGTATTGCGTTGGCTGTGTGGTTAGCGAGAAGACAGCAGGCTTTAGTGGGGGCCCCCAGGGGCCCCCCTGCTGGGGTACAGGGTCTTTGAGGAGACAGCGATGCCTTAAAGCCTGTGGGTATCCAATCAACAAAAGTGGCCTCCTTGCTTGCTTTAATGGCTAATAGGGCCTCCTGTACCTCTCCAGCTGTTACTGCACCTCTGAGTAGGCACAAGAAAGCAGCAATAAGAAGGGTAAAAAAGACAATGAAAATGGCAACAGAAGAAGAATAAAAATGGGCAAGAATAACAAAAAACAGACAAATAAATACAAAGACAACGATTTTAAACTAATTGGCATCGAGTACACCTGTATACGACAACCAGGAAGAGGAGCAAACACGTTGCAGCAACAGCAGCAGCAGCAACAACAGCAGCAGCAACGGAAGCAGCAACAGCAGCAGCAACAGCAGACCTGTACAGGAGGTTGGCAGTTAAGAACATGCCTTCTGCATGCAGAGCAGAGAAGAGGGACTGTCTCTGTTTGAATACAGCAAATGTTATTTCTCTGGTGGACTCTTTAAGAAAAGGCATAAGGGCAGAGGAGACAAAAGGGGCATAAGAAGCAGATAGGCAAGAAAGAGCAGGAAGAGGAATAGAATTGTTTAAGAGTCCCTCTAATCCGCAGGTAGCAGCAGAAGGAAAGCGAAGAGACAGTGTAGCACCTGCAGATAAGAAAGAAAGGGGAAAATAACAAGGAAATACCTTTAACTGTATCCCCAATTGTCTCCTTTTGTACAAGTGTCTCCTTTGCATATCCGAACAACGACACATGCAGCAGCAACGGCAGCAGAACTACAGCCCCGATGCTGCTGCAAGGGGATAAAAGGGGACGAAAAGCGTTGGATAAGACAGACAGTATAAAAGGAGACAGAGAGTATAAAGGAGACAGACAGTACCAAAAAAAAGAGACAGAGAATATAAAGAAGGCAAAATAAAAAGGGACAAACTTACTTGATAAGACCTGAGCAATAATATAATTTAAATCAGCAGTAAAAGGAGACCGAGAGGAGACTGCCTTAGAGAAGAGAGAGCTAATAGCAGCATTATCCATAAGAAGTGCCCCCCCTTTTCTTTCTACTACTCCCCTAAGAGAGAGTAAGGCATTATAAGGTTCTAGACAGCTAGCTGTATAGCTAGCTGTACGGCTAGCTGTCTGGCTAGCTCCCTGGCTAGCTACAGGGGTTGATGGCCATAGGGGCACCTCTAATAAGGGTACCTTAGGGGCCTCCTCATTCATAAACGTAAGAATCTCCTCACCAAAACCAGAACCAGTACCACCCCCCAAGGAACGCATGCATAAAACCCCTGTACACACACAAACCCTAAACCCTTAACCCTAAACCCTTGGGGTGGAAACAGTGCGATTTTCGAGTCAACGATAGAGTGCAGGGTTTGTGGGACTGGCTAGGGTTTAGCGTGCTGACGGTTTTAGGGCCTCCAATTGATGGTATGAATCGTAAATACAACTGCCTCTACATTAGGGTTTAGGGTTTAGTGTTTAGGGTTTGCTTGCCTCCTGGCTTATCTGTGTCCTCTAGCTGGAGTCTAAGGGCCTCCTCCGCAAGGGATCGGATGGGATCGGCCGATCCCAGACGTCGTCCCCTTGGATAGAGGCACCCACCATCCTCTTTTCCTGTAACGAAGCATTGAGGGGAGAAGAGACCCCCTAAGCAACTATGCAATAGGGTGTCTCTACACTCGTAGTCTAAGTCAAGCAAGACGCAGCTGAAGCAGCAACAGCAACAACAGCAGCAGCAGCAGCAAATGCAGAAGCCTAGAGGCAAGCAAAAGCAGCAAGAGCCACATTCACAGCAGCAGCAACAAATACGCGCCACCAGCAGCAGGAGACGCAGCAAAAGCACAGCCTGCTGCAAAAATGCAGTACAGAACGGAGCAGCCCGAGGAGTACATAAAGAGACAAAAAGACAAGAGACAAAAGGAGACAGACGAGACTAGACAATCGAAAAGTAGACACTTAAGAGAAGGAGATTGACGGCCCCTTGGGCCTACAAGACAAGACGAGACGAGATAGGGGAGAAGAGACGGGGAGAGGAGACAGTACATTAGCAACTAGCAGCAAATCCTTAGCTGTAGTTTTGTTTATCTTAAGCAAAGGACGTAGAGACTAGGGTTTAGGGTTTATTCGTGACTAGGGTTTAGGGTTTGTTAGAGACTACGGTTAAGGGTTTAATAAGAATTAGGGTGTAGGGTTTTATTGAGCCTAGGGTTACGTTAATAGACACCAACATTTATGGTTTATATGACTAAACATACCGGGGGACTCTCTTGCCTGTGTCTGTCTCTGAGAAAAAAGTGTCTGCAGCGTTTGGTACCCTGTCGGTTGCCTCGGGGGCCCCTAGGGGGGCCCCGAGTCCCCCGAGTCCCCCTGGGATCAACGACGGGACCCATGGGGCCCCGGGGACACCTAAGTGAGCGTCTTTTAGAGGCGGAACCCACGTAGGGGGGCCAAGAGACCCACAAAAAGCATCCTGTCTAAGGAAGCCCTCATAGTTAAGACCCTGCTCATCTAGCAGCAAGTCCCATAGAGCAGCACCGCTGCGTAGGCCTGCTTGACCAAGGTGTAAGGAAATGATTTGTCGCACCATTTGGGGCTTGAATTGCATGCAAAGACGACTTAATAAATAAAATATTGTAAAAGAGAGATTAAAGAGGAGAAGAAAGAGCCATTGAAGTCCTATGGAAGCCACTGGTTTAACCACTGGGCCTGCAAGGCGCAGCAGCAGCAGCTGCAGCTGCAGCAACGGCAGCAAAACAGAACGAAATCTGATGAGGTGCCACTCAAGAAGAATAAAACAAAGAAAATAAATGCAAAATAAAATATAGAAGCTCACGAATAAGCTCATACGGGGTCCCACGAGCCACTGCAGCATCAGCATCAGCATCAGCAGCAGCAGCAGATCGAGAGGCTGGGTGCCTCGTGGGCCAGGAGGGGCCCACCTTCCTGCTGCTCCGCTGCATAATAGGGGTTAAATAGAGATTAAATGATTAAAATGCATTACTTTATTTATTACTTTCTTTTATTAACTCTTTAACATTGAATATGTCTGTTATTATGCATAGGTAACCATCTAGCAAGGGGAGGGGCCCCTTGACGGCTGCTAGAGGGGGATCACTGCATGCATCAGCATAAATCTTTTTGTCACGTCGATCTTGCATGCATTAACTCTCCTGCTGCTTGTGCTTCTTCTGTTGCTGCTGTTGCTGTTGCTGTTGCTGCTGCTTCTGCTGCTGGTGATGCTTGTGGTGCCTCTTCTGCTGCACACATGCTGCAACTGCATGTGCTAATATTCGCCCAGCATCTAAAGAAAAACAAGGAAAATAAACAAAGAAGCAGGCACTTGTTTAGTCCTGTAGGGGGCCCCAGTGGAGTTGGGGGCCCCAGTAATATTGGGGGGCCCCCTCGTGCTGTTTCTGTGTAACTCGTGAAGAGCCCCAATTGTTATGTAGGGGGCATACGTTGCCGTATGCTTTGGGCCCCTTATATATCTATAGACAACCGCCTACAGCAGCAAGAGCAGCGGCAAGTCTATGGCTGGCTGCGCAGCAGCAGCCAATTGAGTGCAGCGGCAGCACGTAAGCCCTAGCTGATGAGTACAACTTAAAAGTGGACCCTTTAGGGGCCTTTCTGTTGTATAGACACACATAGTCTTATGTATTCATACACAAAAGGAAATAAACCCTGTGTGGGTCCCAATAGGGGGCCCATGGGGGACGGGGGGCCCCTATTGGGGCATTGGGCCCCCAAAGTCTTAAACGGATTTCTAGGAAACCAAACCAACCATAGAAGGAGGCCTTAAAAGGCCATAGGGGCCCCTTGGGGCCCCTTGCGAGCCCCTCAGTGGGTACGCTTGACGCATAAGGGGTCCCCAGGGCTCCCTAGAGGGCTTTTGCCAGGATTTTGTGGGGTCTTGGGGGCCCCTGTGAGGTTCTACGGCCGCACAGGAGGCCCCACTATAAGCCAGAGGGTATTAATGGGGGAGGCAGGGGGCCCCACTATAGGGGTTTAAAAGGTTTAGTAGCACCCAAAAAGAGCAGATGATTGAGGGGCCCCAGGGGCCCCTCATTCCGCACCTAACTTTGTTAATTCCTTAAGGAATTCGCATGGGGGTACAAACTCAGTAGAGCCGAAGATAATCTGAGGAGACACAGCATAGAGAGGGAGCCCCTTAATGGCCTGCTGCAGCAGCAGCAGGTGTTGCTGCTGCAGGGTTTATTGCTGCTGCTGGTTATTGTTTCATCTCACGAGAGGCGTATACACAGCAGCAGCAACAGCAGCAGCAGAAGGAGCAACAACAGTAGCAGCAGCACCAGCAGCAGAAATACTCACTTGTTTCTGTGTCTTAGCAGCAAGCTCGCGTACTGCTGCTGCTTCTACATAAGAGGCCCCCCCTACAACAAAGACGATTGCTTGTCTAACAGGTGGTGCTCTGTTGGCTGTCCCTCCAGGGGAGACAGTTGTACTAGATGTACCTGATGACTGCTGTCCCCTCTGCAGCGGACACAGCAGCAGCAGCAGCAGCAGCAGTAGAAGCAGTAAGCGCAGCACACTGGGGGAACCAGACGCAATAGCAGCAGCAGCAACAGGAACAGCAGCAGCAGCGACCCCAGCGGATTGCAGGAGAATCCACAGCAGCATCAGCAGCAGCAGGTTGTCTATTATATGTTTTACAGTATAAGAGGAGGAAAGAAGACAGTTTGTTCTTAAGTGTCTCCTTTGCATACCCGCAAGTTAATTAACTGTCTCCCTGGTTCCTCCTGTCCCCCTAACAGTCTCTCTAGTAACTGTGTTATAGGAGAAGAACGCCGCACCAATAAGTTCTTAACCCCCTGCAGCAGCAGCAGCAGCAACAGCAGCAGCAGCAACAGCAGCAGCAGCAGAGGGATGTGTTGCAAGACAAAAGACACCACATTCCGGAGACAAAAGGAGACAGCAAAATAATACAGCAAAAGGAGACACTAAAAGGAGACAGTATAAAAGGAGACCAAGGAGACAGTATAGAAAAGGGGACAGTATAAAAAAGGAGACAGTATAAAAAGGGAGAGGAGACAGTATAAAAGGAGACAGAATAAAAAAGGAGACAGTATAAAAGGAGACAGCAGACAGTACCTGTAGGAGTCCTCTTCCCTTATCTAAGAATTTAGATCCAATTCCTTCTAATGCTGTTGATGCAGAGGAGACACCTGAGGAGACAGCTGCTTGCTGCTGCCCTAAGTCTATAGAGCGGAAGGCCTACAGCAAAGGAGATAAAAGGAGACAAGGAAGGGGAACAATTAAAGGGGACAGGACAAGGAGAAAGGAAAAGGAGACAGGAAAAGGAGACAGGAAATAGAGACAGGAAAAGGAGACAGGAAAAGGAGACAGTTATTTTTTACGCTGAATTTAGTAAGGAATTGTAAAGGGAAGACAGACGAAGACAAAGAAAGGAGACAAGAGGAGACAAAAAGGAGACAAAAAGGAGACAAAAAGGAGACAGTTATTCTTACGCTGAATTTCGTAAGGAATCGTAAAGAGGAGACATCTGCGCCTTGTGCCTCCAAGATAGACACAAGAGACTCAAAGGAAGACTTAGGGTAAGAGGCTGCATGCATATAAAAAGGAGACACTTATAAGGAGATGCAGCAGCAGCAGCAACTAGCAGCAGCAGCAGCAACAACAACAACAGCAGCAGCAGTAACAGCCCTCTAAGGTGGAGACAAGAGATGCAAAGGAAGAATTAGGGTAAGAGGCTGCATGCATATAAAAAGGAGACACTTATACAGGAACGCAGCATCAGCAGCAGCAACTAGCAGCAGCAGCAACAGCAGCAAGAGCAGCAGGAGGAGCAGCAACAGCAGGAGGAGCAGCAACAGCAGCAGGAACAATAATCTTACGTCTAGATAGATATAAACAAGCAAGGAGACGAATTTTATCATCAATAGTACCAGGAGATTCATTAAGGAGACACTTTTTTATTGTATTTGTTATAACTGTCTCCCTTTCTTGTTGTATACTTTGCTCTAATTCAAAGTAACTGAATAAACATATATTATTTATTTATTTATTTATTTATTTAATTTATTTATTTAATTTATTTATTTAATTTATTTATTTAATTTATTTATTTAATTTATTTATTAGTTAATTAATAGGTAGATAGATAGGAAAACGCAAGGAGACAACACAAGGAACGGCACAGAGAGACATAAAAAAGGAGACAATAAAAAGGAGACAAATAAAAGGAGACAATAAAAAGGAGACAAATAAAAGGAGACAATAAAAAGGAGACAGTAAAGGGGAGACAATAAAAAGGAGACAATAAAAAGGAGACAATAAAAAGGAGACAATAAAAAGGAGACAATAAAAAGGAGACAAATAAAAGGAGACAACAAGAAGGAGACAAACAAAAGGAGACAATAAAAAGGAGACAAAAGAAAACAATGAAAAGGAGACAATAAGAAGGAGACAGTAGGAAGGAGACAATAAGGAGACAGTAAGAAGGAGACAATAAGAAGGAGACAGTTCTTACCGATCTAATTCTCTATCCTTAATAGAGGAGACAAGAGAAGTAGCAATAGTTGTATGTGCATCTAATGATCTTTTTTTATCCGCTAAATCAGGTAAGACATCTACTGCCTTAAGAATGTCCGAAGAAATATCACCCTCTATTATACACAAACCCTAAACCCTAAACCCTAAACCCTAAACCCTAAACCCTAAACCCTAAACCCTAAAACCTAGGAAGAGAAATAATAACTCAACAATAAACACGATAAAGACACACTACTATTAATTAAGATTGTTAATAACAAGACAACCGTACAGGTACAAAGTACTAAACCCTAGACATAAACACTACAAACCCTCCCTAAACCCTAAAACCTGTAAATGCCTCCCTAGGGTTTAGGGTTTTCGAGTCACACAAGTGTGGTGGGCTCTGCAGGCTCTCCAGGATACGCGCTAACTCAACGGTGCACTAGGGTTTAGGGTTTAGGGTTTACCTGGTTGGGAGAAAGCGTCTTGTGGTCTCCCCCCCACCTTAGCTAACTCTGCGTTATACTCCGTCAGCATTTGGCTAACAGCAGCAGCAGCAACAGGGAAGGGAGAGAAGGCGTGGTCCCGCCAGAATACATCGCGCCTGCACAAACCCTAAACTCTAAACCCTAAACCCTAAACCCTTAAGCCCCAACCCTAAACCCTAAACCCTAGATAAGGCGCTAATTGCAAACCCTCTTCGTCCCTATAGGCATCATAACAGCTGCTACACCACTGCCATGCAAGTGATTGTCGCATCTCCAAAACCCTAAACCCTAAACCCTAAACCCTAAACCCTCGAAGTCATACTTCTCTAGATCGAATGTCTTTGTAGTTGGTGGTTTTCCTCCTTCGCCTGGTGTTGTCACTGTCACCCTATTCAACCTAAGGCAACAAGAGCAGAGGTACAGAGAGACACTGGCTAGCTAGCTAGCTAGCTGGGTAGCTAGCTAGCTAGTTAGGCTAGGGAGCAGCTAGCTGCCAAGCAATAGAGGTATGAGGGTAAATTCCCTGCATTATGCAGAGACTCGAGCTAAGAGAAACTAGGTGTCTAGCTAGCTAGCCAACAAGCAAACCAGCTAGCTAGCTAGCTAGCTAGCTGTTGGCTAAGAGGAGTGCATAGTACCTCAATTCAAGGAGGTCATGTATAAGGGCCCCATACAGCCATGTGTGCTGCAGCATCGTCAGCAAGTCAAAGTCCCTGTCCTGCAGCAGCAGCAGCAGCAGCAGCAGCAGCAGCAAGAGCAGCAGCAACAGCAAAACCAGGAGCAGTCAAGCTCAAGACTTTGGGGAACAGGGAAGATGTGTACTGCAGCAGCAATTGCTGCTGCATGTGCTGCTGCTGCTGCATGTGCTGCTGCTGCTGCATGTGCTGCTTACTATAAGGATAAGAAGAGGCCTTGATAAGGAAGTAGCAGCAGAGCCAAACATATCCGAGAAAGCTTTAGGAGGAAGAGACTCTATTAACTCCTGCAGCGCATGCAACACAGCAGCAGCAGCAGTAGCAGCAGCAGCAGTAGCAGCAGCAAGTGTCTCCTTTTTACTGTCTCCTTTTAACTGTCTCCTTTTGTCTCCTTTTGTCTCCTTTTTTGTGTATATATTATTACCTGCAGTCTTAGTGCAACACTTCTTGCAGGGGAGGAGACAGAGGAGGGACAACTTATTATAGGTAATATACCTACATAAAAAGGAGACAATAATAATAAAAAGGAGACAATAATAATAAAAAGGAGACAATAATAATAAAAAGGAGACAATAATAATAA